TGAGATATTTATATATATATAAATTTCAGGTAATGATAAGAAAATTCTGTCTTTTTTCTTATGACAGGAAAGAAAAAATGTAGAAAAAGATAGAAAAAAATTATTCTATTTATCACACTGAAATAGTTAAGTTCATATATAATTTTTTCAATAGAAAATATGTTTATAAATGAGTTTTATAAAATTCATGATTTCATAATTTAAAAATTTTAATATTATTTTTATAATTTCTTTGTTTTTGATATAATAATATCATATAGATGATAGTTCAATGATGATAGCTAATTCTACAGATGATAGCATAGCCTTAAAAAAATGAAAATAATTTAAAGTATTAATATCAAAAAAATATAAAGTATATAAGTTTTTCTTCAAAAGATATATTAATAGCATTATTGAAACAAGGATGTTTTTTTTTTAATAATGACTGTTTTGTTAATTACAAATGCTTTATAATTATTTTATAATGGACTATAATAACTATTCATTTGAGCAATTTGAATTGCAGTTCACTATACATACAATTTTTTTCAGTTTAAGGAAACCATCAGCTGCTTCAACAGTGCAGAAATAGAGAGACGGTGAAAGTGGAATGATTGTTTTCTACCTCTTCAAAAGTTGTTTTTCATTAAGCGCGTGAGAATAATTATTTTCATATATAAAGTGATCTTTTTCTACATTTTTATGTCTTTTTCTTTCATCTTTTCTTTCATGAAAAGATTATCTTGTCTCATATTTAAAAAATTATACAAAGAGATAACATCGAGATGTTAAAAATGTCTAATTTCTTGATATTTTCCATTATAAAGTGCAACATATGTGTACAGGCTAATATTTTTAAAATATTATATTCATAATTCAACATTACTTCCCTTCGAATAATATTGTTCCAGATCTGATGAAGATCGCAAGGACAAATACAGGGATCGAGACCGTGAGCGAGATCGTATAAGAGACAGAGAACGAGAACGTGCACGAGAAAGAGATCGAGAAAGGGATCGACATTGTAGACGATCAAACAGCCGTGATCGAAGTCGAAGACAAAGAGATTACAGAAGTCGTAGCAGAGACAGATCACATAGAGATAGAAGTAAAGATCGTTATCGTGATAAAGATCGTCATCGGGACAGGTAAAATATATGTGTATATATATTATGCGAAAATATATATAAATAAAAAAAATAAATAGATATTTAATTATATATTTATAAGTTCTTTTTAATTGTAGAAGGGGTTCGCCATATGATTATGCTACAGAACTAGCTCGGGAAAGAGAGAGACAACGAAGAGAATGAAAATATATGCTGGAATGTATATATTGATATAAATGTTTGTACGAGTGTAACTATAGACATAAAAACAATTTAGAACCGAGCCATTCGAACACCACCACATTTTGAGAAAAAATTTACTCCATTGGAGTATAGCCTAAATTTGATTTGATTATATTCACCATGTAGTTTACATGTTTTTATAAAATAAATTCAAGATTATAATCAGTGTTTTATAATTTTTTTATCCTTTTCTAATTTTTTAATACATATATATACATAATATGTATATGTATATATACAAAATCATTAGAAATATTTTTAAAGTTTTTAATTTTTATATATAACAGTTATAAATATATATATATATATATATATACATATATATATATATGTATATGTTTCTAATGATTTTGTTCTTAATATATGTATAATATATACGAATTACATTTGAATTCTAATAATTAAAATACTAAAAAATTGAAATCTTTTAATATCTTTAAAATTATTTAACATTGATTAAATTTTATCGAAAATATTTATTCACAACCATCCAATGCTTTACATGACACTTGAATAAGTAAGTACTTTAGATTGAAGTTAAAAATGGCGACCTACACTTGCCGCCTCATTCTTGGATGAGATTAAACAGAAGATTTATCGAAACATGAAGAAAATATCCATTACTAGGTGACAACAATTGCGTGGCCAATTTTTAAAGGTGATATTAGTAAATGTTTTTCTTTAAAGTTTTATAAAAGAAATTTTCGGTGTTTCTTAATTCAATTTATAACTTTATATATGCTTTTGTTGCAACAATATCATTATATTGCATGTAATATTTATTACTTCTTCCATTAATTTTTAATTTAGTTATAATCATTATATTTAATTTAAAAATTTGATTTTGTAATACAGATAATATTTGTTCAATATTTTTATATAACATTTTCTTATACATATATTAAAAATACTTGTTATAGCTTTATATTATATTAGATAATCATGATTCAAAAAAAATTCATAAAGAATATAAATAATGTAGATGTGGATCGATTTTTAAGTTATAAAGTTTTTATGTTATAATATCCAGGTAAAATAATTGCACGCCATCTATGTTTCGTTTATTCAATCAAAACCTTAAATTTCGTTTACAGATGATTGGCCGACGCTGTGCTCTCATCGCTTTGGGCGGTCTTTTGATTCTGGTCCTTAGCGTTAATTTATATTTTATTCGAATGATTGTAGAGAGCTCGTCGCAAAAAACTTCTAAAGGCATGCCTATCTCACAATTGAAACCAGAACAAGAACAATTAATATTTCAAGCAGAACAAAATTTACAAGTTTCACGAAAATCTGTTGCGAAAGATATGATAAAAAAAATTAAAGAGGAAATACAAATATTATCATCAAAATATTTTAAACAAAATGCTAGCTATACAGTAGTAATGGAAAGATTGTTAACTGAGTTAAAGATAATGCCTAACGTTCAAAAAAATATATGGAGTATTCCTAATAGTAATGTTAGCATTGTATCAAAATATTTAAATAATGTAAAGTGATATCTTTTCTAAATTGTTCCAAATATTAATATTTCTAGTGGCCTGATGCACATCAGTTAATACCACCAGTTGCACCTGAATTAGGAACAATTTTGGATATCTTGCGTAAATCAAAAGTGATACGCGCGGATAACGCACCACTTGGTACGCAATTGAAATTGATGTTAACTTTGGAACATGGGACGAAAGCGATGTTTAAGCCTCAGTGGTATTCTAGGGACGCTATCATCCGAGGACCTGTTTATCACGGAAAAGATCGGCATAATGCCGAAGTAGTAGCATTCCATTTATCTTCCTTATTGGCCTTACGAAGAGTACCGCTTACTGTTATTAGAAAATGTATATATTTTGTTATAAATATAATAATATAATTTATAACAAAAATTCATATATATTAAATGATTAAAAGAATTTATAATTTTTAAAATAGATAGTAATGATAAATAAAAAAAATTCTGATAAACATAGATTGAAAAAATTAATATTTTCAAAATTTTAAACATTTTTTACTTTCATTTAAGTTTTAAGAACAATTTTTTGATAAAGATATCAAATGTATGTGAAAATTAAAGAAAGATATTTCTGAAATAGAAAAATTTCTGTAATCAGGAAGAGAAAAAATGATAAAATAATTCATTTTTTTTAATTCTTAAAACAAACATTCGTTATAATTGAAATAAAAAATTATTTATAACTTTGAAAATATTAATTTTTTAACTCATGTCTATTAGAATTTTTTTTTTCTTTAATGAATATTACTTATCTTAAAAATTATAAATTTTTTCTTTATCATTTTGTATAATATTATATGATTTGAAATATTTTATTATTACATATTATATTATATTATATTATATTATATTTATATGCAATTCTTTTTAGTTGATTTAAGGAATGAAATTCGGCCGTATGCAACTCCTGAACTTTATGCTACTATATATCAAGATGGAAATGATACTTGTCTTTATGGTGTTTGCCATTATTGCTCTCCTGCAGATCCAGTGTGTGGAATAGGGGATATTTTAGAAGGTGCTTTAATTTCTTGGTTGCCTCGATATTTAAAACTTGTAAAACATCGTCATCCATGGCAAAGAACTTATAAAAAAAACAAACTTGCAACATGGGAAACCGACGATAATTATTGTGAAAAAGTAAGTATATCACATAAATAACAAATTTTCTCTTTTTACTTCATTTCTTTGAAAGTAATATTTGTAAAAGTATTAAAATATTTGATTTTTTAGGTAAAGGATTCTAAGGCATATTCTCCACAAACATCGAGTAGACTTTTAGATTTAGTAGATACTGCGATCTTTGATTTCTTGATGGATAATGGTGATCGCCATCATTACGAATTAGCACAGAATAATTTTCATAATCCAGCTGTATTGTTAATTGATAATGGGAAAAGTCTTGGAAATCCTGATATAGATCATTTTGATATTTTAGCACCTTTATATCAGTGTTGTATGTGCGTATTTATATTATATTATATTTGTATTAATTTAATTCATTTATAATAAATAATTGCAATATTTTTATCAAAATCTATTTTCTAAGATCTTTTGAATTATTTTTTTTTTTTTTTTTTGATTTTTAGGATTCATAAAACTACTTGGGATCGTTTAAAATTATTTAGTGGTGGCACTTTGAGCATAGCGCTTTCAAAGTTAGTCGCTCATGAATCAATAATGGCCGATGTTCAACCCCTTATTACAGAGGTCCATTTAAATGCCATGGATAGAAGATTACTTACTATTTATGCAGTTGTAGAATATTGTTTAAAAAATAAGAAATATGCTTCCAATGTTATTTTAGATCATCGGTAGTCTATATTTTGTGCAATATTCATTGCATTTTTAATGTTTGAAATATTAGAGACATATTTATATTTTAAATAGTATTTGAACTATTTTTTTAATATTATGATGAATTGTCAATTTGATATTTAATGAAATATTGCCTAAAATTGTTTCTATTTACTATAACTACTTTTTAATATTTATGCACAAGTATAGTATATACTTCTGACTTAAATAAAATAGCTTTTTATATCTAAATCTTTATTCAAGACTTAATATCTATAAAAAAAATCATAAAATTATTATATAAAATGGAAAAACGAGATTGGTTAAAAAGAATAATCAAATTAGTATATCCAATCATGTAAAGTTTAGTGTAATTTATTTGATGACACGATAATTATCGTTATTTGAATGAAGATCCAGTGCAGCGTCGTACAGCGTATAAATACGGTACAAACGTAAAAAACCTGTAAATGCGACTGTATAATTGTTACATGCACATCGTATTTATGGACATTATGATATCGATCGAATTCTGAAATCGATTTCAAGGCTTATCAAACATGTACACTATGTATATTTTATGTAGCCTGTTATTTTTTGTCATTTTAACGCGCTGCAATCTGACAAATTGCACATGAAGGATTCAATTCCTTTGCATTTCATCTTTCCCCCTTTTTCTTTATACACTTTACACGTCATTTTATTAAAAGAGATCTTGCAGGCTACCATGGGATTTCGAATCAAATTTGTATCTAGCGTCATCGTACATTTCATTCGTTTTTTGTATTTACAATGTTACATGACCAGAATTACTCACGTATCTTATTAGCTAATTATAAATTTTATTCGTAACATAAATTTAGCGCCATCGTTAGATTGTGTATGTGTGTGTGTGCGCGCGCGCGCGCGCGTATGTGTATATATATATAATATATATATATTATATATATATTATATTAACATTTTTTAATTAAATAGAACTTTTGTAGCAAAGTATGTATAAATAGACTATTTTTGCACGCACATTCATCAGTACCCACTTCGAACTGCGCTGTATTTCTGAAGCAATACTCCATTGAGCGGTCCGTCCATGAGATCTGTGTATCGCATATGATAAGCTATTTTACCTGAAAGTAGTGGACGAAAGGAACGACGGTTCCTCGATCCTAAATCTTGGCTCAGTTCGAAGCCCTTTTATTTTACTCCCTATAATAATACTGTATATTCCATCCAAATTTCTCGAGTAAAGTCGCATTAAGCTACACTTAATCGTACTTGATTTAATCATAGAAATGTATTTGTTTAAAATAGACTCGTACTTCCATAACGGCAGCGTAGATTATTGCATTGCGTGATGACGTACATGTTTATACGTCGTTATATCCAAAGAACATAGAAATATCGCTTGTTTATCTCTTACTTATTTAATTACATATCACACCAAAGTGCATGGCGCACATAAAAACTAGAATAAATATAGGCCAGCTGTAGGCATTAAAAAATTTTTCTTAACGTTTTTAATTTCATTTCATTTTTTTAATGCACATCACTGCTTTACGTAAGAACAAATGGAAGGACGTATTTTATAAAGAGTATCCTATCACGCATTGCTGAAAATATCTTAGTCTTTGTTTGTAGCTTGGCTGTTTAATATTTGTTTGATATTTTTTGTCATAAAACGTTAAAAAGAAGAGATTTATATCATAAAGATATCCAAAATTTATTTTTGATTTCTTTTCCGTTTCTTTTCTTCTCAGATTTTTTATACTCTCATACGCAAATTATTATTTTTTAAATGGAATATTACAAACTGGCCTGATGTACGATTATATTCATAGATATTCATATTCAGGTTGTATTTCATTTTCCTTAATAACAATAGCATTGCTAATTAAAGTGCCGATTCTACGCCTCTTGACGAAGATGTTGATGAACTTAAGTCTTCCGAGTGTCGAGTGTGCGATGAATCAAGGGAAGTAACCGAATCACTATCGTTGCTATGAGGACTCGAATAATTGGCTGCTTCCTGTAATCTCATCAACATATTCAGCTGCAACAATATATAAATTTATATTTATATTGTGTAATATGTAATTAGTAATTATTATATTGCAGATTTTTTTTTTCTTTTTTACGGTACAAATATCATATCTTAGTATTAATTAAATGTATTTAGAAGAAAAATACTAACTAGAGGATCTCCTTCAGTGTCGCTATGCGTGCTACCAAGACTTTTCACGCTTGACGCACCAACTCCAGAAGTGTGTCCGGACGTAACAACATCGTAACCAACGTCTTCTGGTCTTAAACGAAGTAGAGCATCACTACCACCGTGTACAGCATGCGTAGAAATCCAAGGATAACTGGAAGTGATAAATTGAGCTGGATCTTCCCAGGAAGAATCTCCATTTCCATTTCCGCTAACGCGTCTGCCGTAAAGTGTCAATCCTTCTCTGACTGCTTCCACCAGATATGGTACTACAGAATAGTTCCATAAGTCCGTAAACCATACTTGAGAACCCGTTACTTCCATTGGACATGATAGAAATAGTCGAGGTCCTATATATTCATTTTCATTTAAAATTATTATTGATCAAAAATAATAAAATATATTCAATATGCTTAAATGTCTTACCTATTGTCACGTCAGAACTGCTATGACTTTCTAGGAACTTGTTAAGATGTAGCCACACCCGGGGTAACCATTCGACAACTGCTGCCATTTCTGCATTTCTAGTTCCACCACACTCGCGTAATTCGTGTTCCAGCAGTTTCCGCCTGAGATAGCGGCCTAAGAATCCCTTAACTGGTTCCATATGATTAGCACAAAGTACCCACCTAAAAATATGATATGTACCATGTATCATGATAAAAATATTTCCAAAAATACTTATAGAATAAATATATCATCTTAAAATTATAGAATAAATTAGAAAGTTAAGTATATACCTAAAATTGTGATGCAATTGAAGATTCGTGGTACTACAAGTAGCCTGACTCATGGTGCCAATAATAGCTGGACAAGATGAGTGTCTAGTACCGAGCAAGCCACTGAACAATTCTCCTAAAGATGCAGCGTGTTGTAAATTTTCGAGAATGATTACCCTTGGTAATTCATCAGCTGCATTCGAATCACATCTTTCGGCGATATGGGCGAGATATTGTCTAAGTTCTTTGCTGGATTTGTGATCTACGTTGAACGTGGCCACAGCCGTAGCATCTTTCGTATCATTATCGGCATCCACCAATGCATGAGCTAATTTTCCAGCCAAATAGCTTTTGCCAGTACCACTGGGTCCACATAAAATGACTCTACGATGTTCGGTTAGCAAAGATATTAATCGTTGCACAATCGATCGTGGTATTAGAGTATCGACAGCGAGCCACGAATAACCAGAAAGTACCAAATAAATGGTCTTTACATGACCGATTAAGTAGCCGCAAGGGAGCAATTCTGGATGTTGAGAATCTGTAGTGCATCTGTTATTGTGTAAAACAAAAAGATATGTAACATTTCATAAAACGAAAAAGAATCGTATTTTTAAGAATTATATAATATGGAATAATTAAAAAAGGTTATTATAAGATACGTACCTAGAAGCTTCTCCGAGATGATAAGCAGCAACGCATTCAACTCCTAGGCCCAAATTTGTCACGGGATCAACTCTCGAAACGTATTCCTTGAAACAACGCCTTACAGTGGAATCAAGGGAATCCCAGGTAGTTTTATTACTTATGCAAACACTCGCGATAATACAATGAGGAGGTTCACCGATACTGCCGTCCGAAGTACTTCCAGTTACGAGGTTATAGTTGAAATTTTTCTCGCTACCTAGATAGATAGCGACGTTAATTCTTTTCCCGTCTGTATCTTGTTCCAAAGTTGGCTCTCCTGTAGTCGAGGTGGTAGATGGTACCACTGAATGTTCCGGTACGTTTAAATCTTCTAATTGGTCAGCTGTCGTACTAGTATCACCGTTTGAAAGCGCGGCAACGGTGGAGGCCACTTCCGTCATACTGAAACGTCTGTCCGGATCGCTAGGTAACGACGATTGAGAGGACGTTAAGGATTTTGACGTCACCAGTCTTTGTAGACGTTCGTTATTTTGTTTTAAATTAAGCATCTCGTTCTAGAAGAGAATAGAATTAATTAGAAAAAAATATCAAATAGAACGTAACGATTTATTTATTTAAATGAGAATTAGAAAATAAAGATACATACCCTCATTTTGATCACAGTGTCTTTCAACGATTCCAATTGATGCGCCGAAGATAGAGCCTCGAGTCTGATATCCGTCAACACGAGATCTTTTTCCCTGAGTTGTTTCTTCAATTCCACCACGTCCTCGTCCTCTTTTTTGTACAAAGCCGAACTGCTTTTGCTTCCCGTCAATGGGTTTTCAACTTCAGGGGATTTCTGTCCGTTGCTCCTACCACCATTTTGACCACCTCGCGAAGACTCGTGTTTAGAGGCGCTTGGCAATCTGGGACTGTTGGGCGCGCTCAAGTCTCCGCTGGCGTTCTCCTTGCAATCTTCGGCGTCGGACACTGAGCCGTGTCTATTCTTCCGTGATCTCGAGAAAGCTTTTGAGAAGGAGCTACGTAGCCAACCTTTCTTCTTGTGATGACTGCTGGCTGAGCAGGCGCTGCTCAACGAATTCAACGAGGTGACACTGTCCGCGGACAATTGTCTCGCCATCGAGGCGCCTTGGTGGTTATTGTTTCCGGTGCATCCTGTTGTCCCGGAATCGGAATCGCCGAGAGTGTGACGGCGACCGTTGTTTGCACCCGTTGTTCCATTATTTAAACTGGCCTCGGCGCTCTGTTTTCGAAGCCTCTCGATCGTTTCTCTCAATTCTTGAAGCTCCGAGTCCTGAAAATTACAGAGAAATTAATATTTATCGAAAGTCATCTGGACTTTTTGGTGTTCGCGACAATTCGCTATACGTCGACGTACTTATGCGAGATAAAGAGGTTTTAAAGTTTATTGTCTGGTTATTTCGAAATTATTTCGAAGAGAGAGGATCAGAGCGGAGTGAAACAATTCCTTTTCGCAAACAAGTGCGTAAAGTTGAATAACGTAAGCACATGAATCAAATTTTCTGTATTAACATTTTATATTAACATTTTAAATATAATTTTGTATTAACATTTTAAATATTTTTATTTCTACGATGATTTGACTCGACGACTTCTTTCTTGTTTCCTTTCCCAATTTTTTCGAATAGTTGCACTTTCATTTTTTGTGATTCTTTTTTTTTTTTTTTTATTCATATTCTCTTACATCTCGATCATTTTATGAGAGTTAAAATCAGGATTTTAACCTGCAAGTTGTCGAGGAAAGCTCTTTAAAGAGCTTTGCAACGGACGAATTTCGGGATCGATCATTTTTTTTTTTTTTTTCGACATATGTTGGTTACAACTGCGTATCGATGGAAATTTCTCAAATTTAAAGTCAAAGGAAGAAAAATTGTCGGTTATTTGTCTTGAAAGAAATTCTCGCTTCCGTGAAAGGGACAAGGCTCTCGACTGTGACAGCAGGCACAGTTATCCGAATGACTAATTATCGAGTCGCTGCTCCACGAGTCAGCCATGCTGAACAATTGTTTCGTACATTTTGAACTCGATTCCTTTCTAAGCTTGTCCTCTTGAGACGTCGAACTCTTTTTCAGGGATCGACCAGACGACCGGCCGTATCCACGTATCGTGGTCGAATTGTTGGACTCTTTGGTGCTGTCCGGCCCAACTTTCGACCGTGTTTTTGTCCTGTTCGATATATTTTTCAATCCTCGTTCCAATTTCGCGTGCAAATTGCTCAATCTCTCCAACGTGGGAGTCCGTTGAGCTTTCCGCTCTTGTTTCAGATCCGGTTGCTTTTTGGTCGCTTTTACGTTCACGTCCACGTTTCGATGACGTTTAACATCTTTCTTGGTATCGTCATTCGATCTTTTACCAACGTATTTCGTGTTGGATAGGTGTGCCGAACTTTTAGACGAGGACGAGTTCGATTTAGCCGAGAAGCTCTCAGAATCTGGTACTCGAAGACCAAGTGTTTTCGCATCTTCTGCGGGGATGGGAATCATGATCATACCGTTTAATACCTCTATTTTATTATCAGGGTAGGCGGATAATAACTGCATAATTTTCAAGTCACCTGGTCGGTATAGCCTTTTATTTCGATGAGATTTCGGCGGTAACAAACGGTCGACAGTCTTATCAAAATTTTGACCCGCTTGCATCATGACAATTTTGAATTTTTTTTTTTTTTTCTTTAATTTTAACCTTTATTTTTATCTTTACGAGGTTACCTTATATAAGAACGGGAGAAAGATAAAACAGGGAAAATGATATATCATTTCTGCAGCATGCAGCGTGTTGCATTTCTTATCGAGTGTCGAGAATTACGAATAACCCGAGCTTTATTATTACAAATTTCATTTGGTTATCGTTGTACTGTAAGAGACTTCATATTTTTAAAGTAACTAATTTTTTTTTTTTTCGATAACACTTTCGATTACGATGAAACTTTTCGTACAGGTACAAATTCATTCGATGGAATTAGATGTGATATTGTTTTTCATTGGTCACTATTATATATTGTATTTTCTCGGCTTCGGAATAATCCAATTTTTGGTTGGAAAAAAATTTACTTACTTTCTTTTCGGCTGTTGCGGTCAGTTGTTGCAAACGTTGTGTCATGTTGGACAACGATTGCTCGAAAGCCGACACCACATGAGCCTGTGAACAGAAACGTAGAGAGATGATGTAGAGGGGCGAAAAATAATAGATGAACGAAATGAAAGAAATATTCGATATCACCTTTAATAATTTTATCATTCATAAATAATATCGACTGAAATATTTATACTTCGAACACGTGATAAATTTTGCGTCTACTTTATCGTAATTTAACACAAGTTATGTGTATTACATAACCAACTAACTTTTCACTAATATTTCTTTAAATATCAATTTACCAGGATATTCTATTCCTGGAGAGAGTCGAATAAATATCCTCTACGCGTCTTGCGAGTCTTCTTCTAAATTCAAATATATCTTTATCAAGAGGCTTTCGAAATGGAACATGGATACTCCGCTGATAAGCGGAGTGGAGTGGCCCCGTAGCTATTTTCCAACTATTATCGAACCATCTAATTTTTCCTTCCTGCGCGAACGATCATTCATTTTTCTTTTTTTTTTTTTTTTTTCGAGTGGCCATAATCTTTCGAAAAATAATTTGAACGGGAACGAAGAAAATTCTACACTCGTAGTAATAACACCGACCGAAGGTAAGACAGATCGACCTTGATAACCATAAATACGCTTAGATGCAGAATAGGTTTCTGGTTTCGTTAATCCTCGAGCCAGAGAACAGGCAGGCAGAGCCTCAGCACCGACAGTTTCAAGTATACCCCCACCCCTCTATTTAAAAATGATCTCAAGTACAAAGCAGATGTTCATCTCGAGTTTCATATAATTTTATCAATTTTTATACGCGCCTTTTACGCGTTAAACTTTCTGCTCGACTCTCGTCGTTATTTATTCGAATCTATGGAGAAAGAGAGAGAGAGAGAGAGAGAGAGAGAGAGAGAGAGAGAGAGAGTAGTTGGTTAGGTTAA